CATGCGCTAATCCACCCTCACAGCGTCGACTCCCACGCCTTGACTGGCATTTCCTCCCCTCCATTTCAGCCTGGAAAATCCATTACTGCAACCCCAGCGCTCCTGGAGCAGCCCGTAACAGCCGCCAGTGATACAGCACCAGCGGAGGCCATTCAGGAGTAAAGCAGAGATCCAGAGCCATAAACAAGACATTCCCCTGCGCTTGACTCTAGCTTTGATCTCAAAGGCAATCGCTCATTCCAGCGGTATCTGCCAGGTACATCAGAGTCGGTTTGGTTGCTGTACTTTGTTCAGCTGTTCATGAAGCAAAGTCTCGCTCATTAACACAGGTGTGATGTGTTGTTGAGACCTTTGCTCTCTGGGCTGTGAATAATCGGCACATTATTTGAAACGTCTCTTTTTGTGTTTCTACAGAAGAAAGCAACTAGGAACAAATCTGCAGGTCTCTTTATAAGAGAAGAGTAAACACTATTTCTTAAATAACAAGATTCCAATAGAAGCTCGCAGTAAAAAAGCACAAACTGTATCCAGTAGGAAACTAACGAAAATGATTCATGATTGCTAAGCTGTAAATGTGAGTAGCTGCTAAATACTGTGTTTTTGCTGCATTATAAATACATCTATAACTAACCAGTAGGTTTGGAAAATAAAACTGTCGTGGATTCATTCTTCTGTTAAAACTCTTCAGTTAAGCCCGTTTTAGTCTGCAGAATCATTAAAAGGCTGTTTTTCTTTTGTTGTGGGCTGAAGCTGGAAGAGGCGCAGCACAAACGAGTGGAAACATCATTCTGCAGCTCTTGCGTGGGCTGCTGTGTGTGGCGGCTCACGGGGGGAGAGGCAAGGCCTGAATTCCCAGACAAACATAAAGCCAATACTCGAGGAGGGAAAGGAAGCAGAGCGTGAGCAGTATTAGTGGTTAGGAGGGACAACGCTGCTGCTGCCGCTGCTTTCTGATAAACACCTACCGGCCAACAGCTTCAACGCTTCTTAAAATAGTCGTCTGTGTCATACGGCACACAGAACAGAACATTCAGTCTGCTTGCGAGCAAAACACAAAACCACCTCGCCTGTGCTGCTTTCCATTCGGCACAGAACCCACACAAAGAAATCACTGCCATCATAAACCCCGCCCCTTTCTTACAGTCCACTGCGAACTCACATTCAGATCCGCCTCCGACCAATCAACCACTGACGTGGACAAACAAGTCCTGCACTTTTTGTTTCTTTTTCAATCATCTCTCCAAGGAATAGTTCAGCCGAAAATGTAAATGTGCTCACCCTCACCCTGAGTTTGTTTCTTCATCAGATTTGGAGAAATGTAGCATTGCATCACTTGGATGGATCCTCTCCATCATTGAGACGTTTTTAACTTCAAACCGTTGCTAATATTGTTTATAGTATTCACATGCTTGGTGTGAACGGCCCTTCTCAGATATACGGCACAATACAGCCGTTACATCGTGACTTTAAACCAAAACGGTCAACCCTGTGAGCTTTCTGAAACCACTGTTATATTCTGCATTGATCTTTATTGTGTGGTTGGTTAATCATGGTATTCAACAGTCAATTTTTTGTGTACTCCCTCTTGTCTTTTTCTCAAACTCGTGTGAGGGTGCAATGGGTTTCTTACACTTCTTTTCAGTGCTGCAAAAGACTAGTCATTGACATCCAAACAACTGCCAACCAAAACCATCCTTAGACAGATTTCACATGACTGTGAAACTCAACTAGATAAAGAAACCGTTTTCCTTGGATGACGCAGAAGACAAGTTTTGAGTAAACTTCTCAAGTCTCAAATTTCCTAAGTCCTCATGTATTTCATATTTTAGTGTTTGACAAGTTAAAACAAATCAAGGCCGTAACCATGTCTCAAACATTGGGGTGGGCCAATTTAAAAAAAAAAAAAATTATAAAACAATTGAACATTGAAGGTCTAATTCTAGTTGGGCAGTAATCATTTTAAACTATTTGCAAATAATATATTAAATTATGCACATGTTCAATCTTTTTTGTATGCCCAATATGTAAAAAATGCAAAACATTTCATGTCTCATCACATTCCGTTAGGAATTACACGAATCACGTAAATGATTCAATTAAAAAATGGAAAAATTTGAGAATAAATGTCGAGTAGTTTGCATCACTGGATATTACTGTCAGTCGTTTAACAGGTATATCATAAAACAGCTGTCAAATATTAACAGTCTAACCTCGCTCTTTTTCAGCGTTAAATCTGAAGCGTCGCGCTCTGCTTCTGTGGACAGTAAGCCCCGCCTACTTTGATTTGATTGGCCATCTCAATCATTTTGACACTGACGAGCGCTGTTAGACCGCCGAGGCAGACCAACCTAAAAATGTAACTTTTAAACGTTTTTGTCATCCTAACAACAAACAGAATGTCTGTTTTTTTTTACCTGACTCTTTAGTATCAATTTTTGGCAAATCACATGGAAACCAATGGGGGTAAATTGACCCACAACACAGAAGTCGTCACAATTGTTGTACAGTCTTTCCAAAAGCACATCAGTTCGTTAAAACTTGCATGACCAAATTAACCCCAACACAACAGGAGGGTTAAAGACAATGTTTCTTCAGGAAAGTTTTGAAATGTACATCTTGTTGAAATGAATGACTCTCCCTGTCCTCAAATAAACACGGCAGAGAAAGATGGTTTCTATTTCAAACACTCGGGCACACTGGGAGCCGTGAAAGCAGACAGAAGGCCGTGTTGTGGAGGCTGCAGCGTGACGCTGAACTCTGACACATCGTGCTCCTCTGACGGCGGCGGCGCACAGCAGATCAGGGGAAAACACATCCAGATGTGATCTCCATAAAGAGCCAAAGAGAGGGAGAAAAATGAGGCTGACTAATTCTTCCCCGGCCCACGGGCCACACATGTGCAGCATGAGGCCGAGTAACGCTCAACTTCTCTTCTCTCACTAAACATGCACACACACTGAACGAGCGGTGAGTAACTGCCGTTTGTAATTAAAGGCCCTTCATTAGCCTGATCGCGCCGGTGGAGCACTTGATATCTGGAGGAATGAAGGCCGGCCATCCAGCACAGACTCCAGATCCAGACAGGAAGGAAAAGAGCAGCTGTTTGTGTTTTTCCATGAGCGTTATGTGCAGTCAGACTCTTTAGTGGGTTTGTTCGCCGATCACCTGAACTACAGCGAACTCATTCCCCGGGAAATGACATGACAGCAAACACACGGTCAGTCTACAGACGTGTGAACAGATTTATGTACAATATACAGTAAAGAGAAAAAACTACATCAAAACGGAATCGTTGCTTTGTCATGAACCCTACAGCCACCCGCGTCACCAGATGCAACGGCAAAAATAACCAGATGAACAAACTTTGATATTGGCTTGACAAAGCCTTGTCTGAAAGTTTAAAGTAACCTTTAGATGCTTTGTTTGAATGTTTTAATCAGAGTCAAGAAAATGTGGTTAACATGTTTTAGGATGTTGCTAACATTTCTAACATGTTTTAGCACATATCTAGCATATCCAAAAAACAAAGTTACTGCTAGAAATTTGGTCTCAGACGCAGACTCAGAATAAAGTTAAATAGTAGATCAGTAAATAGTAGAATTGTCAAGCTAACATAATGATTGCTTTCCAGCAGCTTCCCTGAACACTCCCCTTCTCCCATTGGTCAATAAACAGAAAGCTCCGCCCCAAGCTCACACTATTGGTTGAGTCAATGATGTGTCGGGATGCTCAACAGCAGCACAGAGTCACAGTATTTGCATGAATCAAAGAAATCAACCAATGAATAAACAGACATGGAGTATAATTAACTGTACAGTGCATTGATGGCTTCACATAATGGGTACTATGTAATAAATCATTACATATATTATGATACTATATTGTGCATTCTAAAAGCCTGTATTCCTGTTCTCTAAAATGTTTAAGACACTTCAGGTGGTGGTATATAGTGAACAGAGGCACTTCGCTGTGTGTCGTGTCTATCACTCTTCAGACGGCACTATATTCACTATACAACTCCATCACTTTATTACAGCACAGCTTAAACACAGTATTGCTAATCAGTATTCAGAGCCAATATCAGTGTCATAATTTACAGCAATTTACAGAAAGAACAACAAAGTAAGAACACCGTGTTTAAAAAACATTTTATTGGCATGGACAACAAGTAAAACACATCAAAACTAAGGTTTACAGTGTAAAAACATCATTTGAAAAAAAGAAGCATTCAGTTACACACAAGATAAGATGGTATAACTCAAAACAACTAAAAAAAAGAACTTGGAAGTGAATGTAAAACAGGACAAACCCACTGCTTATCTAACAACTACAGAAAGAAGGCTTCACGTTTTGATTTCTCTTATCAGATTTCAGCCAAGGATAAGCTTCAGTTTGCGGTTTTAGGATGGATTACAGTAGAGCTGATACTACGGCCTGCAGCACATCTACACTCAGCACAATCCTCCATCCTCACTGCTGCGACTGCAAAAATCTGCACAAACATCTGCCACCAATAATATTCACTCTTATCACTGTGGCTCTTTAACACAACCATGTTAGGACAAGAACAAAGGTTTGTGAGCTGTAAACTGTTCGAGGAGGTGACAGCGAGGTAGCTGTAGCTCCTGGAGACCGTTGGATCAGTTCTCAGACATGGACTGACGCTGCTTCTCCATTCACTCCTTCAGTTTGTCTTCTGTCAGAGTCAGTCGCTGCTCCAAAATGGCCACCGTCTACAAAACAAGAACAGAACAGTCATGAGATTGACTGAAAGTGACACTTCCTACCTGATCTCATGTAAAAAATAAAAAAAAGGTAACTGAGTTAGAAAAAGGAATGACCTAACTAACCCTCAGTGGGGCATAAAAGAGATCGTACAAATGGTCACGTCTGAGATGCATTTTTAGCGGTATCTTGAACATTGTGAGGGATTTGGCGGTCTGGATAGGGTTAGAAAGATCATTCCACCAGCAAGGCACAGTGAATCAGAAAGTTCTGGAAAGCAATGTTGTGCCTCTCTGTGATTTCTGTGGTACCATCTCTGTGCTAGAAGAGCTTTGCAATAGTCCAGTCTAGAAATAACCAGGGCCTGGACGAGGAGTTGTGCAAAGCTGCATTATTGTTACTGTACTGTTAATGATTCTAGCTGGGTGGTGAAATTGTGCTGTACAGTTGGAGATGCTGGGAAGCCTAAAGTTCTGTCACCGCAAGATTGAGTTGCAGGTGATGGACTTTCATGCATGTCGAGATGTTGGCCAGACAGGCAGAGATCATCTGGTTGAAATGAAAGATAAAGTTTTGTGTCATCAGCATAGCAATGGTAGGAGAAACTATGTGTCAGTATGATGGGTCCCAGTGATGTAGTGTATAAGGAGAAGAGGAGGGGTCCTAGAACTGATCCCTGAGGAACACCCATGACCAGTTGATGTGCTTTGGACTCCTCTCCCCTCCAAGCAACCCTGAAAGGCCTACCCGTGAGATAAGATTCAAACCAGTGAAGTGGAGTTCCTGTGATGCCCGGCGATAAACAGAAGGAGGACAGAAGGATCTGATGGTAAATGAAAGCATTAAGAGCGTTTAGGATCCGTCCCGCTCTGGCCTGTACTGGGCGCCAGTTCGGGGAAAAGTGTAAAGAACAAGCACAGTCGTTGATGTGTTGCTGTGGAGGAGGTCTTGTGCTGACACATTCTAATAGTCAAAACATACAATATGTTTCCATAGTACAATAAACTCTTACTGTCAAACAAGCAAGCAGAATCTAATGCTTTTAACAGGTTATGTGATGAGGAATCAAATATGCCTTGATAATGTCATATGTAAAGATGATAGCAAATCATAACAATGGGTATTTACACTGTCTTAAAGGGCAAGCGGTCCTAAAATGTATGTAATAAAAAAAATGCATGATGTGTCCGTGATTGTTTGGAAGCTAAAGCTGAAGCATCTCACTACTGAGCTACTCAGATGGATTATGACAGAATGGAAAAGGAACAGAGTGAAGAACCATAAAGAAGCTAAATAAAAGGACAGAGAAAAAGTGAGGGAGGGAAGGACATTCAGATTCAAGCATGGGAGGGAGTCATAATCCGTCGTCACAAGAATGCATGAATGGCATCTATTTTGGCCGGCCCCAAACAGATGTGCCGTTCTCCTCGTAGACAAACCCGCTGATTATGCGGGGCAGAATACGAGCCCCCTCGTTCATGGCATGAGGCAGAAACCGAACACCACATCCTCTATATGGGGCAGAAGCACAGACGGACCCCTCAAGAAAGCGGCCTTCTCTGAGAGCGGCTGGAGAGGAGATGAGGAACGGAGGCAGGATGTCTTGTGCCAGGGTCTGCATGGTGTAGTGGGCTCATGGAGAGGGTGTGGGTGATGAACACACTGACCTTAATGTAGTATGGGGGCTGGGCCATTCACAACAGCACATGTGCAGTGGGAGCACTGAGAGTGTCCTCAAAACAAGCTCCCCGGGAGAGATGAGCAACTATTGCTCATGCGTCGCTTTCCTTAAACTCAGTCAAAGATAGAAAGCTGGCAGCCCTTGACAGGATTTTGCATTACAGAGAACATTTGTCACAACTTATTTTAATAAATGGCATCCAAACCTTAATATTAATTATATAAACTTAATAATCTTAATATTCTTTCTCCCCCAAAAATAAGTTATAGGCCCAAATGAAAAATATATAAATAATAGGTTAAGAAACTAAATAAAATAGTTGCTTTTCCACTATTGGGATAACAACAGGTCAGACTCTACAACCTGCCCTTAACATGCCTCCATAAGACTCCAACTTCACACAACCCCACCATTACACTAGATAAAGACTTAACACTCCAGCATTGATATCAGACTAATGATTTAGGATAAAATCTTACAGTGACAGTAATCTATTAATTTGTGTCAGTAGTGCACATCAATCATGCTGAATCAAAAGGGTGTTTATCACTTTCACATAAAAAGAGAACACACAGGAAAACAGCTCCATTAGGGCTAAGTCCAAAGGCATATACATATCATTCCTATCTCACTATACTATTATCCTTTCAGCCAGAGCAACACAGGGAGATCACGGACGGAAAACCAACAGTTCGTTATCAACAAAGGCATAGGGAAGAGTCTTAGGGAAGAAATGCGGAACCAAATAAATACATGATTATAATCATATATGACTTGTATTTAATATTAAGTTATTTTAGCCGTGTCTGGTAAGCATAATGCTTATTCATTATAGCAATGGTTAGCATCCGTAGCCTTTAGCGTCAAATCTATAAATAAAATATTTCTGCCTCATACGGTGATCGTAATCCCCATTGGATTGCAATCGTAAGTTATTTCAGACACTCACTGAGATTTGCTATGAAAATGGTTTCAAATCTCGATTTTAGCAGGTAGCCTGATATGAAAACATGTGAAATAAGCAGCAGTTGTGGCTGTCTCCTGACTCAGATAAGCTTTGTTCATGACCACTCCTCAAGCCCCAGTTGGCCTGCTTTGGAACAAGTGGGCCAAAACCCATTTGGATGTTGGCCCCGAGGAAGCCCCAACGAGGCATGATTAAGCCCCAGACTGGCCCTGGCACACACTAGTACACTCACTTTTGGCTCAATGGTGGAAATGTGCCTAATCAGGATTGTTTCTTAGAGACATATAAGGGCTAAATGCATCCTAAAATCCACCCCGAAAAGTTACATCACTAAACTCATCCCCCTTAAACGTTTTAATAGATGTCTAGCCACAATGACACACTGGGAACTGATCACTATCCTTGGGTCACAGTCAGAAAGGATAGTGTTTGATGGGATTGAGATCTGGACTCTGTTCAGCCAAATTAAGTTCTTACACACCCTCCTTGACAAAGCATTTTTATATGAGCTTCCTGATATGCCTGGGAGCACTGCTGTAATGAAGCAGGAAAGAGCCGTCCTCAAACTGTCGCCACACATTTACAAAGCACATAATTGTCCAGAATGTCATGAAAAACAGTCCCATTCCATTATTGTTCTCGGCCAAACACTGGCATGATGCTTTTGGGTAGGTAGTGTTCTTCTTGGCACCGTCCAAAACCAGATTTGTCCGTCAGACTGCCAGATGGTAAAGTATGATTCATCACTCTAAAAAACGTGTTCGCACAGCTTCAGAGAGCAATGGCAGTGAGCATTACAGCACTCCAGCAAACACTCAACACTGTGTGTGCTGATCTCACGACCACAGACACGACTTCATGAAGCACCAGACAAACAATTTGTGTTGACGGTGCTACCTGAGGCAGACTGGATCTCAGCATTGACCGTCTATTTCATGACTGCACTGATGCTGCTCCAAGACATTTACATTTAGCAACAACATCAATCTGTTGACCACTCTATCATGGCAGACATCTCATGTACAGACTTGTTGGAGAGGTGGCATCTACAGTGCCGAGACGTATGCCACTTCGGCCATTTTAGCGTAACTGTCTGAAAGAACAGCTGCGAGAATGAAGACTGAAATGAGAATTGCAATCAAAGTGGTGGTACACAAGAAATTCAAGGGTTTGGGTGTCCCAGTGGGCACTGTTGGTTTAATCATATGGAAATGGAAGCTACATCAAACCAACCAGACACTGCCTCAAAAAAAAGAATCAACCCTTGAAACTCTCTGCACAAACAAAGAAGCACTCTGTGATCACTTTGAAGGAATTGAGCCGCTGAGAATGAAGTAAAGGTGAATTGTCAACCATCAAGAGCTCTGGAGAACACAGAGGCACAGAAGAAGCTATTACTCAAACACACCATCAGCAGATCCCACACACTGCTTGTGAGATGGTAATGGCAGAGCATCCCTGAAGAACCTTTGAAACACAAAACGGCAGATGAAGAACTGCACTGGAATGTTGCAAAATGGAAACACATCTAAGGGAAATCTTAAACAGCACGAGTGGCAGATGAACACACATCCACATGAGAGGTCCTGGTGAAACCATGACCATAGTGATTTCATTCACTACACCAATGTAGGTGTGATCTGGGGTCGAGCCATACAAGGACAGAGCATTCAAAGGGACTTTGAACTGCTGATTGATGGGTTTGGGACAAACAAGATAACACGCAACAGAAACACAAACCCCAACATTCTTGTTTGCTTTTTTATATGGTTTGAATCAGTGCCAAGCAAATTCCTGGAATGCTAATTACGGCTGGAGAGTTATTTCTGATCATTCTTCCACAGCACTCTCGCTCTCAGAGTCTTCCCTCTATCCTCCTACAAGGACGTGCTTGATGTTTGACTCTGGGTTAGCGCAACCCAAGTGCACGCGGTTCAGAATGTGGGCGAGACGGGCTGATGCTCAGTAAACAGGCTTCCTGAGCCGCCCCCTGAGGCCCGGGAGGCAGAGCTCAATAACATCTGCTGGTATTTCATGCTAGAGGGAATGGGTTTTGCATTTCCTTCCTCTGCAAGTGTGCTTTTCCGATCAATACGAGCAAGAGCCTTTCGGCCCATCTGAAAAGGCTGGGTAGCAGTATAACTCAGTGAAACACAGCACTGAAGGTCACTGGAGTTAGCGCAGGTAAAATCGTGATAATACTACACTACACGAGACGCATGTTGTTTACAGGAGCGGTGTTCAAAATGCTGCTGCAACTGTGTGTGTGAGCTTTGAACGTAATCCACACTGATATGCTTTTTAGGTTGACAGTCTTGTTGAATAGGACAAGTATCTTATTGTATTTGACGTCATCTGCTACATAGAAATTCACTGCTGCTTCGGCACAGATCTATAGATGTAAACTGGCTCTATGACCCTTGTGTAAACCGGGATTTCTTTCTTTTCTTATTTTTTTATGCACATAGCATAGGCCTAAAATTGTTTCCATAATTAAGGCAGTTTGCATTAAGTTCAGATGGATATATTTTACAAACAAGGTTATCTACAACAGTCTGCCATCCCAGAATTCAGTCGAAAAGAAAATTGTTTCATGTTAATAGAAGCCTCTGTACAGAGCGAAACAGCAACTGCCTTTTTTCACATGCTCTTTAAACCAGCATTATAGGCCCATTAAACCCTCTCTAGGCTCTATTTTTGTTTATCAATTGCCCACATACTACAGCTGTGCATTAAACTTGTGGCTAACATACCCTCTGAGTGACAGTCTTGATGTTTGGGCTCACTGTAATACATGAATGTTACCAGTCCCCATACTAACATCTGCAATCTGCAGTGTGTGTACGGCTGAGAGGGGGAGTGTGTGAAAGTGTGTATCTTAGCACATTCCCCCGTTTCAGGTTCAGAAGTGAATTATTCATTGGGTTCTTCCAGCAACCGGATCCAGTGTTTTCTTCTAGACAGCACTTGTGCAGTGTGCATCAGGTGTGCTACATTAGCCAGTGCACTCCCAAGGTTTATATCTCTTCCTGTTTAACATTATGATCAAATGATGGCCAGGGAGATATTAAATGTCATCTGGATGTGCATTTTTGTGGAAACATCGGATGCTGGACTGCAGGGTCAAAATGACGTTTAAGATTTTGCATTTAAGTATCTTTAAACAATGCAAGGAGAAAAACACCACTGACAGCCTTCACTTGTACAGTAAAAACGGAACCCATGTGAACTATCATTGCATGCATAAATGCATGCATATCGGGGTCCTATCATTCATTAATTTATTATTATATTCCCCCCCCCGAGGACCACTTATAATGTTAGTGACATCATTCTGTGCAAAGTAGTTTTTCATGACCATTTTCCACCCTTTCTCTGACCTTTACCATAAAGCACAGAACAGACACACTAGCCTGTGCAGCGTCAGACAAATAGGAAAAGTCGTTTCAGAGGCAGAGCAAACATATTTGATTAAAGATTTTCTTGAGAATAACATGCACCCATATATACACTGGTTTATATATACACTACACTCTTAAAAATACAGGTGCTTCACGATGCCATAGAAGAACCTTTTTGTCTAAATGGTTCCATAAAGAACCTTCAACATCTGAAGAACCTTTCTGTTTCACAAAAGCTTCTTTGTGGCGAAAGAAGGTTCTTCAGATTATAAAAAGGTAAGAAAGAGATGGTTCTTTAAAGAACCTTTGACTGAATGGTTCTTTGTGGAACCAAAAATGGTTCTTCTATGGCATCGCTTGAAGAACCTTTTGAAGCACCTTTATTTTTAAGAGTGTACCATTGAAAAAGTTATTTTTTTAATAATAAATTAATGCTTTTATTCAGGAAGGATGCATCAAATTGATAAAAAGTGACTGGAAAGTCATTTAAAATGTTCAAAAGATCTCTGTTTGAAATAAATGCTGATCTTCTAAATGCAAAGAATCCTGAAAAATAAAACGTATCACAGTTTCCACAAATAATATTGTGCATCACAACTGTGTTCAACATTGATAATAATCAGAAATGATTGTTGAGCAGCAAATCAGCATATTATACTGATTTCTGAAGATCATGTGACACTGAACCTTTTAATAAAAATCCATCAAAAAACAAACAAATAAATAAATATTAGAATAAATAAATGCATCACTTCTAGGTACAAAATATGGTAGCATTTTTAATGACCAATATCCAATTAAAGTAATAAGTAATAAGATAAAGTAATAAGATACAAGTGTATTTAGGACACATTAAATGGAAGCTCTACTTGGGCTGAACGGTACTACTACTTGGCAAAAGTACGGTAATCAACAGCATGTCACAGACACTTCAGCAGGGTTCCTTTACTTCCTTTACTGCCCTGTTTTAACTGTACTGAAGCTCATTCAGGAAACTCCAGTCCAGCAGTACATTGAGATTGTGAGCTCTGAATCACATCCGCTCTGACTTCCAAAGCGTTGTTTTAATCGGGCTTTAGTCGTGTTGTGTCGGTGAGGTACATGAAAACTCCTCTAAGCCCCGAGTGTGTGAGTGATGCTCTTCCCAGGGGTTACGGCCGTATATGTATAGAGTGAAGCACGCAGGAGCAGGTGCATTAACAGATTATTCCTCTCATTTAGTGTACGCTGAGCTGATGAACTGAATGGACACTAATGCTGCATTAGGAGTGCAGTGGGACAGACATTCATCTGAAAGACAGCTTCTACCAGGAACAGAAGAACAGGCTTCATGCTTTCAGCTGTCATTTCACACTTGACTTACCTTCATTAAAAGCTCCTTCATACATGTATAATTAGAAATTAGAGACAATTACTCTACATGTACTGCATGTTCTTAATGGCTGAAACTGCTTTAATCCAAAACATATGAGTAGATATGAAACAGAAATGTATATATGATTTTTGATGTGTATATGTTCTAAAATTAAATATCTTTAAATCTCAAAGCTCACATACACAAAGGTTCATGAGTGAGAAAATTATTGATAGTAATGACTTCTGGTTAATTCAGTGAAGCACTCTTTAAACGGGTTTAAAACAATAACAAGAACTTGGTCTTTAGACCGGTTCACCATCAGAACCGGCTCATATGACATCATGATAAAGACCCCTTGTCTTTGTATTATTGTGTTGGCCTGCATTTTAGCTCCTCACCCAGAGGACGACTTCAGCTTATCTCACTGACGTGACCTTAAGAGTTCATATTCCCAATCACAGAGCCACTGTGAGCACTGACACACAACAGATGTGATCATTTACCATGACTTACAATTAGTCAGTTGGGAACACAATGTTTTAAATTTTTTTATTAAATGAAAGAGACAGAAAAGTGAGGACACAATTATTGGGTAGAATTGTCTAAATACTTGCAAAATTTTACAAGACATTGTAATTCATAAGTTGTTTGTTGTAATTATGCCACTGACATTCTTTTGCTTATTGTGTTTACCGTGGTAAACGCGTGCTGAAGCATTTGTTCTCATGCGTATCGCATGGTTTTTCAGTTTTGGTTTGCTAAGTACTAAGGCGTGGCCAAAGCCAGTTGAAGTACTTATTTACAGTGTTTGCAAGTAATTGTTAGAAGAAGCAGTTGAGCAACAGAAGAGGACAGAAGCTTGTAAGTGTTTTGTTTCTTTACTCATTAGATTTTAGCATGGTAGTCGTTCCTGGGCAAATCAAAAAACCTTACTGACCTTAGTTTGTATCAGTCACTCCTCACTTCCTTCTCTGCAAATGTCTCCACTGCTAAAACGTCATATTACCACAACAAAATTCACACACTTTTCAAAATCTTCTCTTCACTTCTTTGTCCTCACCCCCCCTCCCTCCTTCATCAACTCTTACAGCTGACGACTTTGCAATATTCTTCATAAATAAAACAAGAACCAACAGGGGCCAATTCCCCACACCTCAAACTACGACAAACATATCATAACAACAAATACACGCTCTCTCTCCTTCTTCTCTCCACTCTCAGAGGCAGACGTTTCCAAACTTACCCTTTCCAATCAACCTTCTACCTGTCCGCTTGATCCTATCTCCACTCACCTCCTTCAGGTCATTTCTTCCTCAATTATACCTGCACTCACTCCCATTATCAACACCTCTCTTCACACTGGTACCTTTCCCACAGCATTTAAGCAGGCTCGAGTAACCCTACTGCTTAAGAAACCCTCTCTAAATCCAGCACATGTAGAAAACTACAGACCGGTATCCCTTCTTCCATTCATTGCAAAGACACTTGAGCGAGTTTTGTTCAACCAACTCTCTATGTTTCTCACACAGAACAAGCTCATGGACAACAACCAATCTGGCTTCAAAAGCGGCCACTCAACTGAGACTGCCCTGCTCTCAGTTACTGAAGCCCTCAGTAGGGCCCTGGCAAGAGCAGCTTCCATATCCCCAGTACTTATCTTGCTGGATCTGTCTGCAGCCTTTGACACAGTTAACTACCAGATCCTCCTGTCCACCCTCATGAAGATGGGCATCTCAGGAGCCGTCATACCTCTCAGGTAGGTCCTTCAGGGTGTCTTGGAGGGGTGAGGATTCTAACTTCTTGCCACTGGGGTACCTCAGGGCTCAGTGCTTGGACCACTTCTCTTCTCCATCTACATGTCATCATTAGGACATGTCATTCAGAAGCATGGCTTTTCCTATCACTGCTATGCTAATGACACTCAACTCTACTTCTCATCCCAATCAGATGATCTGACGGTAGCTGTTCCTGCAGATTTGCCTTATACAACATTAGGAAGATTAGGCCCTTCCTATCAGAGCAGGCCACACAACTCCTTGTCCAAGCTCTTGTTCTCTCCAGACTGGACTATTGTAACGCTCACTTGGCAGGCCTTCCAGCATGTACTATCAAGCCTCTGCAACTGATCCAGAATGCAGTAGCGAGAGTGGTCTTCAACGAGCTGAAGAAAGCCCACGTCACACCTCTCTTCATCAGTTTGCACTGGCTGCCAACTGGCTGCCTACAAGACAACCACTGGCACTGCAGCAATATACCTAAACTAGTTCAGACTTATGCGCCCTCCAGAATCTTGCGTTCTGCAAGTGAACAACGCCTCGTTGTGCCGTCCCAAAGAGGCACAAAATCTCTCTCACTGACCTTTTCCTGGACTGTTCCCAGCTGGTGGAACGACCTGCTGATCTCAATTCAAGCAGCTGTGCAGTTAGCCATTTTCAAAAAACATCTTAAGACACATCTTTTTCATCAGCAACTGCATTACATATTACATTCAGACATTCAGCTCAGAAGTGCAGAAAGTCACTGCGATAATGTCCCCAAATCTATAGCCATTATAATAGTATTTATGACATATCTAAAAAGAAAGCTGACATATGAAGAATGTTTTTAGCAAATATTCAGTAAATATTCGACTTCATCCACTGAGTAGATAGATATAAGACGTAAATAAGCATACACATTCGTCAGATGTGCACCGTATGTAAACGTGCATCACAGCACTACGCATGTCAGATATTTTTGAATCCGGTTGAGAAAATAGTCGGATTCAAGAATTTACATCCTTATCTTTTCCTATTGTGATTGGATTCTTGCAGGTCTACACCACCCCTGTCAATCCAATCTAAATTGCATTCAGATCAAACTCATTTGGATCGGTTGAGGTGTTTTCATGAAATCTTTTCAGTCCAAATGAGGCATCAATGCGATTATAAACAGATGATGTTGGTGCATGTAAACACAGTGTTTGGTGTGAATCTGTTACCTGTGTGAGCACATCCAGCTGTCCTACGATGTGCTGGTGAGCACAGTGGGAATGCTGTCCCGCTGGCCGTCAGACGGGGCGTCCACACCAGCTCCAGGTCTGACCAGAGCTGTGCTGCCACTCTTCTGTGAGGTATGGCCATCAGACAGACCAGCGGCTCCTTACTCCTG